ACCAGCTAGCCACGCCCACCTAGTCACATGACCTCCAAGCCACAACCACAAAATAAGCCACGCCCATAGAACCGGTAGTAAAAAAATTTAGAGCCCACCCCTGCAATAAAGAGGAGTGAAAGGAGTGTGGAGTTTGCAAGAGACAATTAGTTCGCTTAATTGGTTCGTGACTCTCGGAGACTTCTTGCCAAGTTTTGAAGATATCGGCCTGGCAGCTCTCCAAGCCAGATAAGGTTTGTAAATTGCCCCCTGAAAGACTTTGCTGGATGTGAATGAGAGAAATTTACAGTAACTTAATAAAAAGGGTTTTTTGTCGGGACAAGGAGTCCGCTTCACGCTCTTGGGAAGCCTGGGTCAGAACCAACCCTTGCAAAGAAAACTGCAGGGACTTATATAGGTGGTCTCTGAAAATTGGAATTGATTGAATGAAAAGGAAAAAAAAAATGCAAAGAACTCACTGTCTAAGCTGGAAATAATCTACTTAATACTGTATTCATACATACAGTATGAAATAAATCTTGTACCAATTTTTTAAAGAAAAGAAAGCATAAAAAAATACCTTTTCTCACCGGTATCTTTCTTGAATTGGGAAACGTTGCATGTAGCAGCCAGCCTTGAGGATTGAAGGCTACTGTCTGATTAGTAAAGTGAAAAAGGGACACTTGTCAAACAGGATACATGCATCATTCATTTGGTTTTGATGGAGACAAGGCTGAAAAAATAGCCGTCCTTAAGGCCAAAAGGAAGGGTGGGGGCCTTTCTATTGTCTGGGCCACTAAGCATTGCATTAGAACTGTGTTTCTCAACCTTGGGAACTTTAACTCCCAGAATTCCCCAGCCAGCATGGGGAAATCATTGGCCCAAAGTCACCTAGCTGGCTTTCACAGCTAAGGTGGGACTAGAACTCACGGTCTCCTGGGGATTGGCCCAGAGTCACCCAGTTGGCTTTCATGCCTAAACTGGGACTAGAACTCACTGTCTCCTGGGGATTGGCTCAAAGCCACCCAATTGGCTTTCATAGCTAAGGTAGGACTAGAACTCATGGTCTCTTGGGGATTGGCTCAAAACCACCCAATTGGCTTTCATAGCTAAGGTGGGACTAGAACTCATGGTCTCTTGGGGATTGGCCCAAAGTTACTCAGCTGCTTTTTAGGCCTAAAATGAAACTAGAATTCACAGACTCCCAGTGATTGACCCAAAGTCAATCAGCCGGCTTTCATGCCTAAAATGAAACTAGAACTCACAGATTCTTGGTGATTGATTAATCAAGGTATACACCCCTATTTTTCCCTATTACTATTGATACCACCTTTGCTTTCTTTTGCCACAGTTGTTCTATTTCTATTTGCCGGTCTGTGTATTTTGTTATTTTCTCAAGTTCTTCCTCTCCTCTTCTGCTGTCTTCAGTTACTACCACGTCCACTCTCTAGACTTCTTTTGTCTTTCTTATCGACAGTTTATCCTCCTTTCCAACAATTTTTTTTTATTATTGTAATTACCTTTATTGTTGTATTAGTCATTGTGAAATGAGTCTGATGTTAATCTTGGTTCGGGGGCTACAGCTTCCCCGAAGTAGCAGTGTCCCAATAGTTGAGGGGCTGCCACAAGGAAGGGGGGGGGGTCAACCTATTTTCCACCAGAGGGCAGGGCAAGAAACAATGGATGGAAACTGATCAAGGAGAGAAGCAACCTGAAACTAAGGAGAAACTTCCTAACAGTGAGAACAGTTAACCAGTGGAACAACTTGCCTTCAGAAGTTGTGGGTGCTCCATCACTGGAGGTTTTCAAAAAAGAGACTGGACAGCCATTTTTTTTTTATTTTTAATTTGATTTATATGCCGCCCTTCTCCGGAGACTCAGGGCGGCTTACAATGTGCTCGGTGATTTATCTGGAATGGTGTAGGGCAGGGCTCTGCAACCTTAAATACTCAAAAAGCCATTTGGACCCTGTTATGTCCTGACTAATCAGTGCATGGCAAGTAGAGCCGCCAGATGAGGGCGCTGTGCTGGCGGGAAATAAGGTGTATTCTCATTGGTTAAGACGATGTCAAGTGGTGGTATATAAGAGCTGTCGGTTTGTGAGGGAGCGCTCTCTCTCCCTCCCGTGTTAGCTGTTATAGCAAATTACTGTTGCTGAATGTTATTAATAAACAGTTAGTTGTTGTTATACGGAGTCGCCTCGAGTCTTGCCTGCCTTCCCACGAACACAACAGACCCGTTTCCCACAGAAAACACTGGGAGCCACAAAACCTGGATGGGCGTGGCCAGCTCGATGTCACTCACTTCCACCAGTCACATGACCCCCCCCAGCCACGCCTTCCCAGCCAGTCATTAGGGCAGAGAACCAGTTGTTAAAAAATAACGGGAACCACAAAATACTTTTGACATATCTCTCTCTCCCTTCCCTCCCTCTCTCTCTGTATCTCTCTATGTCTCTCTCTCTTCCCCTCTCTCTCTATCTTTCTGTCTCTGCCCTGGCCGCTTCTCCATCCCCCGCCGTCGCCCTTACCTTCTCAGGCTAGGCGAGGAGTGACTGGGAGGGGAGGGCAAGGGGCGGGGCCTGCCAGTGGTGGGATCACCTGACAGGGAGCCACAGCAGAGGACCCAAGGAGCTGCATATGGCTCCGGAGCCGCAGGTTGCTGATGTTCTGTCCCCGTCTCACACATGCACACAAATAGACAGCCGGGGGTTAAATAAACTGGCAGACAACCAATTCTTCCGATAAGAAGCTTGGCAGCAACCCAGTAGCTGCTTGCCAAGAACTTTACTCATAAACAAAATACACACAGTCAAGAATTGTCCAGTTCGTAAAATAAATCCAAGGCTGATAATGTTGTTTCCAAAGATGCAATGTGACTCGATAGTAGTTAGTTTTGTCCGTCACAGAGTCTGAATGGCCACCTCACCCCCTTTTATACCCTGTGGGGTGTGGTCCAGTGACTCAGTTTAATCTCTGGCACGCCTTTTCTTCTGTTGCGCGCGCTTATCTCTGCGACGCTGCCGAGGATCCAGCCAAGACTCATTTCCCTCATCACTGTCCACCTGTGGCTGCGTGGACGTGCTTGGCCCTGGCCCTATCTCTTGCCCTTCGGCGGACACCGAAGGCATTGCCAGAGAGGAGGGTCCTGGAGAGGGAGGCCTTGCCAACTCCTCTCCTTCACTCTCGGAGTCCTCTCCTGCCGATGACACAGGCTCAGGTAACGGAGCCACAACAGCTGACCTCTAGTGTAGGGTCTCTGCTTGAACAGGGGGTTGGACTAGAAGACCTCCAAGGTCCCTTCCAACTCTGTTATTCTGTCACTCTGTACGAGATGAAGAGGGCAACTGTGACCATCTTTACACAGAAGCAAGTCACGCTCTGTTCGTTGACGTTTCTTCTCCTAACAAGTTTGCCACAGGTTGTTGCTCTAGGTAGAGAAAATGTTACGATAATACAGAGATAGTGATAGCAGATAATTAGATTTATTTTCCAAAAGCTTTCATGTCGTAAGGAAGTTGTCTGGAATAGTAAATAAGGCTTTAGGTTTGTAGGCTGCAAGAAAATCGCGTACAGCCAGCCGAAATATTTCAGCCGGTTCGATGTCTCCTTAGCGTATCTGCATACTTAATTGATTAACAGCTTCTTGGATCCTCTGCATATTTAATTCTTTGTCTAATTAATTGCTCTGTTGACTTCCCTCCTAATTAATTACCCGCAGCCTCCTCATCAATTCCATTCAGGCTTAATTTGGGATACTGCTTATTTGATTCTTTACCTTTAATTGGTTCTTTCAGTTATTGTCCTGTAGGTTCCCAGCCTAATTATCAGGTGATTTATCCCTTACAGTTCACATATTTATTCAGATGCTACAGAGATCGGCAGCAACTTTTATTATTAGTAGCAGCAATAATTATTTATGCAGTGTGTAGCAAGATCTCACTTTTTAGTTACTATTCATCCTTGCAGCAAATCTGTAAATCACTTTGGCTTTTCTTTCTTTTTTTTTGGAATTTAGAGGCAGGGCACTAAATAGACCGAAGATGGGATACATGTCCCTGAGATAACAAGTAAAAAATAATAATCTGGTTTTGGCAGGTGATTTCTTGAGTCCACTTGAGTCCTTGTACTCCTGTTATTACATTTTGCGACTTTTGGGGCCATTTTCTGGCAAAAATCGTCTATTCGGTTAGCTGGATTTGGATTTCTGACCATATGATTTGCTTCATGACCACAGCGACTTGCTTAATGACCATTGTAAAACTTATTGTAAAATTGAATCCGGTCACATAGTGACTCGAATTTCCAACTGAAATTCTGAACTCAGTTGTGGCCATAAGTCAAGGACTACCTGTATCATCACCATCATTTAGCAACCCCATAATCCCTTGTGGGGTGGATGCTGAGCAAACTGAATGGAGCTAGGAGAGTGTTTTAATGGCCGGATGCCCTTCCTGTCACCAATGCGGAGTTTTGTTTAGCAGATACATTCTCATTGTGCCCTGAGAGAGAAAATATCTGCCTCTACCTAGGATCGAATTCACAGCCTCCTGATTGTGAGGCGAGAGCTCCACCTCTAGGCACCACTCTATCAAGGACTATGTCAACTTGCAAAGCTTTCAAGTTGCCATGAGCAGGAGGGAGGGAGAACTGAAGTGAATTCCATACATTCTTTCTGACCGCAATCAGAAGGAGGGTGTTAGGTTTCACAGCCAGCCAAAGTGGTTAATTGGAGAATGTGATTTATGACATGGCCAGTGGGGAGGGGAGAGACAGGGTCATAGGGGAACGTAAATCTACGTGGGATCAGTCCTGACTGCATCTGAGTATTGCTGGAATGTTGCTCCTAATAAATCACTATATTTCCTTTGAAGTTTGGATCATGGCTCATGAATTAATTAGGGCATCTTTCGGAAACTTGACAGACTACCTGTATAACTTTATAGATTCCCGAGGAGTCCCAATTAAAAAAAAATAACAATAACCAACATTATTTTTTTTGTTTTGTTTTATGTTTTTCAGGGAACAAATCCATCTTCATGTGTAAGCTGTGCAATCTGTTTTCCCCCAACCAGTCCGAATTGCTGTCTCACGCCTCCGAGAAACACTCAGAAGATGGGGCCAAGGTGGACGAAATCATTATTCCGCTCAGGCCTCTCATGGCGCCCGCCAATCTGAATAAAAACGGAGAAGGTACCAGCCAAAGTCCGCCAAAGATGTGAATCCTCGTTGCGCTCCGCGGCTTGAGTTTGTCCTAAATTGCTTCAGGCTTAAAACAACCCAAGCTTCTTCTTAATTCATAACGGCAGCGAAGTCTTTGCGTAATTCATGAAATTCCGAATATAGTGATTAAATGTTCTCTGCGTAAGGCGAGGAAGGCTTTGATGGTCTCCTGAGCTTGCCAGAAGATTTGTTTTCTTTCATGAATTATAAGTACGGTTTAATGTCTACAGTGCCACATGTTTACTATCCCTGTCCTTTAAGGAGAGGGCGCGTACAAGGCATGGATTTAACTACCTTTATAAATTCAGCTGGGCGCTCCGGTAGAAGTAACAAAGCTGAGCGTTCATGGTTTAGTCATTGATTTATTTCCTGCCTTTATTACTTTTGGAAATAATTCAAGGCAGCAAACTTGCCTAATATTCCTTCCTCCTCCTCTTTTCTCTACATCAACCTTGTGAGGTAGTTGGGCTGAGAGAGAGTGACTGGCCCATTCACGCAGCTGATTTTTTTTTTTTAATTTGATTTATATGCCGCCCTTCTCCGGAGACTCAGGGCGGCTTACAGTGCGTTAAGCAATAGCCTTCATACTTTTGTATATTTATACAAAGTCAGTTTATTGCCCCCACAAACTGGGTCCTCAATTTACCTCCCTTAGAAAGGATGGAAGGCTGAGTCAACCTTGAGCCTGGCGAGATTCGATCTTACTTTAATTGCAGACAGCTGGTGTTAAATTACAGAGCTCTGTCTGTTGAGCTAAACCAGGCTCAACTTTTCATATTTAAGGTGGGACTAGAACTCATGGCACCCGGTGATTGGTTCAAAGTCACCCAGTTGGCTTTCATACCTGAGGCAGGACTAGAACTCACAGACTCCTGGGTTGACTTTCATGCCTAAATCTTCTTATAGAAGATTTTATATCTTCTATCTTCTTACAGAAACGTAGCCTTCGCATGTCATTGCTTCTCTTATATACAAGCCGTGATGGTAGAACAAAGGCCCCCCCCCATGCGGTAACTGCCCCATGCAAAGCAGCATGCCATGGGGTGGGCTTCCATCACGAGAACAGAGCAGTATGGAGCCTCTCTTTGTAATGATGCTTATCACCTCCCGAGACTACAAACACATTCCAGGAACGATTGCTTGCCGCCCATTGGTTTTAAATATAAGCAGAGCTCTGCTTTGTTCCTAAAACCTTTATTTTGGTGCTCCACAGTTAAACTAGCTCTTAGAGAGCCATTATGGGAAATTTCCTTTGGAAAGCAGCCACCGCATCAGATAAGAGGCCGTAGTCATTTGGCAAGTCAATTGGCTGAATGCTAACTTGGCATTTGTCAAGTGAAAAAAAAAAAAAAAAAAACTCTTGTGATTCATTTTAGATAATAGCCCTCATTTTCTGTAAAGGCAGGACTGGGGACCATTCATAATTTATAATGGAAAATTAACACTGATGTATTAGCCAAAAAGCCATACAGCACAAAGGTTGAGTGGCTTACCCGTGATTGTTTTCCTAGCTAAACAGGATGACAAATACAATTTTCCTTTCATTTCTAAGAACGGTATTGTCCCTGGCGCTAAAATAATTGGAGGCCGGATGGCACTTGCTAAGCCCTTTTCTGACGCTTGGTTTCAATATTATTATAGCTGGGTCGAAGGGAAGGACAAAACAAAATTTTATTTATTTATTTATTTATTTCATTAAATTTCAAATACCGCCCTTCTCCCGAAGGACGCAGGGCGGTGAACAGCCACAAGATAAAACACATAAATGCAAAAATTTAAAATAAATTAAAAACGAATTAAATAATTTGGCTGGATTTAAAAATACCCCATAATTTAAAAACAAATTAAAATTTACATTTAAAAAGGGGAGAAGATTTAGGCCAGGCCAGCTTGATGAAATAAAAAAGTCTTAAGCGCGCGACGGAAGGTGCGCAGATCCGGGTTCCTCCGTATCTCCGGGTGGAGCTCGTTCCAGATCGTAGGTGCCCCCACAGAAAAGGCACTCCCCCTAGGGGCCGCCAGTCGACATTGTTTGGCCGACGGCACCCGGAGGAGCCCCTCTCTATGGGAGCGTACTGGCCAGTGGGAGGCTATTGGTGGTAGGAGGCGGTCCCGTAGATAACCAGGTCCTAAGCCATGGAGCGCTTTAAAGGTGATAACCAAAAGCTTGAAGCGCACTCGGAAGACCACCGGGAGTCAGTGCAGCTCGCGCAGGAGACGAGAAGTAAAAGTTGCACGACTTATAAACAAAGCCTGCGGCTCAACTGTAGTGAGAGAGACAACCAATACTGTAAATCCAGCATCTCCATTATTGTAAGACCAGGCAGCCAGACAGCATCTAGTGCCGTGCTGGCAAACCTATAGCACATGTGCCCGAGGTGGCACACAGAGCCATCTTTCTGGGCACGCAAGCTGTCACCCAACTCACCTGCAGCTGCACCTGCGCCCCAGCTGGTGTTTGGGCCTCTGGTGCCCATGTGCACAATTCAGGGGACCCAGCTGGTCTTCAGAGCTCTCCTGCACACGTGCGTGCATTTGCGCATGCGCATGTGAGTATTTGGGCACAGGGCATGCATGCGCAGGCAGCATTCATGTGGGTGCATTGCATTTGTGAAAACCATGCACATGTGCAAAGGGTGCGATTGCGCAGTGCATGGGGGCCCGCATGAAAGCCGTGTGCCTGCGCAGATGGTGCAGTTGCGCACGCAGCGCATGGGGGAGGAGCCATGCATTAGTGTGGATGGCATGTGCGCGCGCAAAGCGCATACCTGTTCGGCACTCAGTGAATAAAAGGTTCGCCACCACTGATCTAGTGTATATCTTGTAAGTTTTATAAAATAAATATAAAATCATACACTAGAACCGTGATGGCGAACCTATGGCACATGTGCCACAAGTGGCACGCAGAGCCGTATCAGTGGGCACGCAAGCTCAGCTCTGCCAGCTGATTTTCGGGCCTTCTGGGCCCACCGGAAGTTGGCAAACAGGCCACTTCGGCCTCTGGAGAGCCTCCGGAGGGGGGGGGGGAGGTCGTTTTTGCCCTCCCCAGTCTCCAGACGCTTTCTTGGAGCCTGGGGAGGGCAAAACATGGGCCTACCGTGCCATCACATGCCAAAAGCAGGGGGACATACATGATTAAACCGGGACAGGATGTGGATCACAAGTGGCAATTGGCTATGTCTTCTACACACTGGAGTTTATTATTGGGTTCACACAATACGTAAGATTAGGCTAAATCCAGTGGTGAAATGTAAAATTTGTTACTACCAGTTCGGTGGGCGTGGCTGGCTGGGTGGGTGGGGTAATGTGACAGTGGGAGTGGCCAACTTTTTTTTTTTTTTTGCTTTTAAAAGCATTTTTTCTACTACCACTTCAGCCGAAGAGGTTGTAAAACAAATACTTTTAAAAGCCTCTGACAATCAGGCAACTCAGCTGGGATCAGCTGGGTATATACGAGACCGCCTTCTGCCAGCAACAACCTCCCACCGGCCAATACGCTCCCACAGAGAGGGGCTTCTCAGGGTGCCGTTGGCCAAACAATGCCGATTGGCGACACCCAGGGGGACAGCCTTCTCTGTGGGGGCACCAGCCCTCTGGTACAAGCTGCCCCTAGAGTTCCGTCTTAGCCCCGACCTGCGCACTTTTCGCCGCGCCCTTAAGACTCTTCTGTTTCAGCAAGCCGGACTGTCCTAATATGAATTTTAAATGGGTATATGTGTGTTTTAAATTGATGGCCAAATTTTATATATCTGATTTTAATTGGTTTTAAATTTTATAAATTCATGTGTTTTAATATGGCTGTACACCGCCCTGAGTCCCTCGGGAGAAGGGCGGTATAGAAATTTAATAAAACTTAAAACTTAATCATCAGAGGCTTTTAAAAGCATTTTTTCTACAACCTCTTCGGCCGAAGAAGTTGTAAAAAAAATAGTTTTAAAAGCCTCTGACGATCAGGCAACTGATCGTCCGAAGAGGTTGTAGAAAAAATGCTTTTAAAAGTTTCTGACGATCCCAGCTGAGCTGCACAATCATCAAAGGCTTTTTTTTTTTTTACTTTTAAAAGCATTTTTTTCGGCTGAAGAGGTTGTAGAAAAAATGCTTTTAAAAGTAAAAAAAAAAAAGCCTCTGATGATCGCATGGCTCAGCTGGGCATGGGGGGGGGGGCGCGCGCAGGGATTTTTGCTACCAGTTCTCCGAACCACCCGCAGCCATCGCTACTGGATCGCATTTCACCCTTGGCTAAATCTAACTGAAAAGTTAAAAATTGACCACAAGTGAGAAATACAATCACTGTTTCCTAAGGGTTGCATGACAGCTAAACTACCAGCTTTGCTAATTAACACTGTGCACCATTGCGGCAGGAATTGATGCAATAAATCTGTCTGGCCATTGAGATGTTCAAAAGATTAGCTGTTGGAGGTCTAATTAATATATTATAAAACCGTCTGTGGTTTTCTTTGCACAAATCAGATGGGAATTTCTATACTGTGGACATCCTGGCTGAGCCAAGCAAGGCTACGAAAGTGTATTTTAACTTCCATTTCAACTTTCTTCATATATTCTCCCCTATACACTAAACTCTTGTGCTGAATGCTGCCTCAGTACAGGTAGTTGTCGACTTATGGGTACAATTGAGCCCAACATTTCTGTTGCTAAGCAAGACATTTATTATGTGAGTTTTGCCCCATTTTACAACCTTTGTTAAAAGAATCACTGCAGCTGTTAAAAATTAGTAACACGGTTGTTAAGTGAATCTGGCTTCCTCATTGACTTGGCTTGTCAAAAGGTCGCAAAAGGGGATCACATGACCCCAGGCCACTGCAAACGTCACAAATACGAGTCAGTTGCCAGTCATATGAATTTTGATCACCTGACTGTGGGGATATGCTGCAATGGCCATAATTGTGAAAAACGGGTCGTAAGACACTTTTTTCAGTGCCTTTGTAACGTCAAACAGTCACTAAATGAAC